GTATGTATGTATGTATGTATGTATGTATGTATGTATGTATGTATATGTATATGTATATGTATATGGATATGGATATGGATATGGATATGGATATGGATATGGATATGGATATGGATATGTATATGTATGTGTATGTATGTATGTATGTATGTATGTATGTATGTGAGTATGTGAGTATGTATGTATGTATGTATGTATGTATGTATGTATGTATGTATGTGTATGTATATGTATATGTATATGTATATGTATATGTATATGGATATGGATATGGATATGGATATGGATATGGATATGGATATGGATATGGATGTATGTATGTATGTATGTATGTATGTATGTATGTGAGTATGTATGTATGTATGTATGTATGTATGTATGTATGTATGCATGTATGTATGTCAACGTATGTCAATGTATGTCAACGTATGTATGTAGACAGGCAGGCAGGCAGGTACGTCCTCATTCGAGACTCCATAAAAGTCCATTAAAACATGTATCTTGTATTTGGCATGTCGTAGTGCATGATGGCCAACAAACTCACTCTGCCTGTGCTCGTGTTTGTGCATTCGGTTCACGTGGTTCCTCGTCCGGTTGCTTCTCCCTTGGGAGGTCGAAGATGATGCGGAGTATGCGGAGGGCTTCGGGCCGAACATCTTCAGGCTGCATTCACAGGTTGATAAGTGTCTAGAGCAGCCCAAAAGGGGAGTTCAAGTCCACTTGGTTCTCCAATACCCAGGTCTTACGAACTGTTGTACGCCCTTCGAAACAAAAGCCTAGTAGATCACAGACCCCTTTTCTGTTTCTTTCTTGCGGCCCGCAGAGTAACTTCCGCATTTGGTCCGGCTTTAGGTTCTCTGTTTCAGACTTAGGGTAAACATAGTGTCCTCGGATGAAGGGAGACTTCCGAGTTAAGGCTTTGTGCCGGATGAAACCCCTAAGCCCCAAGTCCCGAAATTCCCTGAAGCCTGAAACTTTAAACCCATGAAGCCTCGTTCGCCAGCTCAGACACCGGGAGGCTTCTAGATGGTCTTGATCGCTACGATCCTGACTGGCATGCTTGTGCCGTGGATGCCTTACATCTGATTGTCGACGGGCTCTGTGTATACGAACGCAAGAAATCAGGAACGGGAGAACACGAGCGCGATGAAGACACACACGAAACAAATACATACACACACACACACGCACAAAACGAAACGCATATGTATATTTGTTTATATTTATGCATTTTTTTTGTGTTTATTCACTTGCGGATATTTATTTACTTACATATATACATACACTAAATAAATAAACAATAAATAAATGAATATGGTTTTGCGGATTTCCAACTACCTGGCAAGTTACTGTCCCGACTGAACAGTGTCACAAAGGCGTGTGAACACCAGTGCGAAGCGACCGGCGGGGCGCGGGGGTGCGGCAGGGTGGAGAGGTCACGCAACCCAGTCCAGCGTTTGGGGCGTTGTGGGGGCTAATGTTTACCTTGCAGCGTGGATCTACTTCTTCTCGGTTTGGCCACATTAAAACTTATTTGTAAGTGGCATATAACCTCGCCTGACCGTCTTCCCTGCAGGCGGCGTAGCGAAGCTAGGCATGTTGCACATGTGCGCCGAAACCCTGGTGTTGTGTTTGCAAATGTTTGCAACTCTGGTATTTCTGGCGTAGTGTCACGTAAAGGTTATCTGGAATTACCTACCAATGATGAGGGTCAGCTCAAGAGCCGAGATCCAAGCATCAACGCTTCCTGTGTCCTGCGAGGTCGGCTTCATCCGGTCGAAGTCGCGGATGCACAGCCTCGAATGGGCCCGCGGCTCACGGTCGATAGCTTGTGGATGACGGTCTTGTGAACGTTTCGTTCGCCCCACCGAGCCGACGAATCCAGCGGGATTTGGGGTTTGGCACTGGAGGCTGAAGTTCTCTTGTCATAAGCTGAACATCATGTTACACCTGTCCATGGGTTGTAAAGGACATGTATGCCTAAGGCTCCCGCATCAGGAGTTGTGCTATCGGACTTGCGGATAAGCCTCCTCAGCGCTGGTGCGGTTTCGCTGTCCTAGGTGTGAAGCTGCGTCTTGATTTCGTTTAGACTGTTCCAGGATCTGTATGGGTTTATTTATGAGGCTGCTAAGCTTTGTGGGGTTGCGTAATGTAAGTGCGCCCAAGGATCACGACCAAGACTTGAGAAGAAGCTTCAGAGAAGATCCGGGATGTTGGAGCCCCTCTGACTTGAACCCGCGAAGGCCGTAAACCCCTACAATATGAAGCAGAGTTCGAAGAACCCGCAGGAAAGCCCAATCTGTCAAAGACACAACCCCAAGAATGATGCGCCAGACTACGAAGCTTGCTTCAAGCTCTCAGCCCTAAACCCTAAAACCTACTATATCGGGGCCTTGATAATCAGAATGGGGTTTGGGGTAGAGTATACCATACTCATAATAAGGAACCCCCCAAAGCCCTGTTCTAATTATGACGGCCCCTACAGTATCCAAACCCGAAAGCATCGACTCCCAGGGGCCCCAGATTCCGAAGGAGGCGCTTGAGCTGGCTGGGAGCCCAAAGGCTTGGGTTCAGAGGCGTCAGGGTTTAGGGTTTTGGGCTTAGGGTTTAGGGTTTTGGGCTTAGGGTTTAGGGTTTAGGGTTTTGGGTTTAGGGTTTAGGGTTGCATAGGCGCTGGCCGGCACCTCAGCCCGTGCTGAAAAAGGGGGCTAGAACTTCTCGTGCACCTTAACATGAAGGATAGAGTCATCGAGTAGCCTTGCCTATTATATTTTATCGTATGCTGTAGTATACGAAGTATTTTATACTCAATATATTATGCTAAGTCCAGTGTATTCCAGCATAATAAGGGGTTTATTGCGACAACTATATCGTATACTAGACAAAGAAACAGTTGCCTAGGTAGGTAGGTCCGTCGGTCGGTAGGTAGCAGCTAGCTAGATATGAACGTAGTAAGTTTCAACGCTACAGTTTCTACCGTACACGAGGCAACCCTTGAATCCTCAACGCCAAAGCAGCCAATTTGGCTCAAAGGCGGTGTTAGGGGTCTGCCGAAGGACGGAATCCACGATGACAATCCGAGCTGCCGTCGTCCAAGAAGGCGGACATGACTTCAGCGAATGCCTTCCGAATCCCTGCGCAAGTGCTGACACAGTGCGTCGGGTGCGCTTCCAGGAGCCTCACATCATAGAAGTTGTCAGCTGGAAGGATGCTACACGCCTCATGCAGCACAGAGGCAAGAAGAAAATCGATGAGGAGGAGTTCATGCTTGGTGCTCTATCTTCCCTGCCTCATCGGGTCGCATTGATGGCAGCCTTGACACCCATGGTTCTTCGTTTCGCGATCGGGATCGTCGATACTGTGATGTGAACTGAGGGTTGCTGATGCAAGCATTGGCTGCCGAGTGTTTGACTCGTCGTTCCAGCAGTCTGTGTTTTAATTGACAGCTTCGATCGTGCTGAGCCGGCATGATGGGACTGTCCATGTACACTTGCTGCGTTTATCATCTTTTCCCTGTCTGATCCTGATAGAAAGATGCTGGGTCTCCGAGAGACATTGCCAGCAGACATCCTTCTGGACTCGGACAGTCCAGCTGTTGTCCTGCAACAGCCGCGATGTTTACTGTTTCAACAGATCTTCCTCAGTCTTGCATGCCATGCCATGCAAGGCTAAACGAAGGATTTTCAAGGCCTGGCAAGGCTGGTACCAGAAACGTAGGTGCCAAATCATCCTCACTGTAAAGCACGCATTGTGCCGGCAGTTTGGAGGGTCAAGAATCGCATGGAACATCTTGAAAAATAGCTCCACCTGGAGAGACCGAGAGTGATGTCACAAATCCAAGTCTGGAGTCGTCGCCCCAAGCGAAAACATTCAACCCTTTCGGCGTATAGTAGAGTCAACCCAAACCTACTCATGGACAGAAGGACTATGGCTCTGGAACATCCGAGCACCCGGGCCCCAACCCCAACTCAGGAGATCCACAAAAGGCATCACGGAGCCTCAAGATCCTGACGTAGAGATGTGCTCCCGTCAGATCACAGCAGTCCCGGCTAAGGATGAGATCCTCGCCATACCAAGCAAGCTGTGTGGTGCGCTTGCAGCTCAGGTTGTGATCTGAGGCTGTCTCTCTGTTTTTGCCATAGTTTTGCGACTGTATTGCAACAGGACATGGAATAATTAGCCATTTAGGGTTTAGGGTTTAGGGTTTAGGTCCCAGCTGTCCTGGCGTGACGTTGCAAGCCAGTTGCAAAAAAAGGTCCCTTGTAACCCTCTGTAGAAGTTGTTTTGTAAAGCCCCATCAACCGGCGGAATGGAACCCATCGAAGTGAAACAGCCTCGGTGGTTCGGCTAGTTACAGTTGCCCATACGAGGTCTTCCACCCGGGACCCCACCTGGAGTTTCAACCATTGCCAGATAATGTTAAGAGTCCCGGTAGCATGGAAAAATCTCCAAAAGCCTAGTCTTCTTCCTTCGGCTCTAAAGTCGGTCCGGATTCGCTCGCTGCCTGAAGTCCCTGCGGCAAGGACGGCCATACTGGTGCACGGCGCAGAGGGCGCTAAAGAAATGTTGAAGCAGCTCCTTGGCTGGTAATTGCAGGGTGTGCAAAGCAGGCATGCGAGCCCCAGGTTGTCTGTTCGTGTGAGTGTCAGGTAGGTAGATGATCCCTTGACAGTGGAGTTCTGCCTACTGAGCCGAACTGTTAGACCCAAGCGGCCGGAGATTGCCACGATGCTGCCATGACACAAGACCTGCACAAGATAAGCACCCGAATGCCGAAGGGCGTCTTGATGTTGTGCTTGATGACAACGGTGATGCCACCGGTTGATGATTGCTGGCAGTGCTGCACTACCTGATACAGCCTGCGTGTGAACTATTTCTCGCTGTTATGGTTTCTGCATCCAACTGTATCGTGGCTGTGCCACTGGCCAGCTTGAGTTTTGTAGTGTTTGCGACGATCGGCATAATTAATGCCACAACTGTGTTCCTTTGTTTGTGCTGCTGCTTCTGCGCTAACATGCTTGGTTGCTGGGTGCCGGTCGTCCGCATTTTCGAAGCAATTGGAACCCTGTGTGTTCGGAATGGTGCACACTTTGCGAGTGTGTGGTAATATGGGAGTTTCATAGGGGTACCTTATTTGAGGGTCCTTATAATAGGGATCCTATTATTTATGGTACTATATTAGGGTCCCCTATTTTTGGAAACCCCCATATGTCTTTATACCATGCAGCACTTTTCACGGCTGCTCTTCCCGAGAGTCCAGGCCCGGGAAAGCATGAGTAGCAACCAATCAAGGCTTTTCCCTATCGGTGCAGACCACCAGCGCCTTGGCTCATAAGCTTTGCGTCAGAGTTTAATTCATTTTGTGCTGGCATCGGTTTACTCATCGTGCATGTATGTGGCTCAGCCGGACGTTATCCAATGCTGTCAAGAAGCAAAGGTTACTGTCGTGCCACAGCCGGTTCAGCAATGCATTGAAGTCTCGAAGCCACGTAACTTCAACACATGCATTGGGCGAGGGTTTCGATGCTTTTGTCAAACGGAACAACTCAAATCGAACTGACAGGAAGCACTTGATGACAACTATTCGCAGTAAATCTATAGTCGAGAAGCTCTGCAGGAACGGTGCTTCAACAAATCTCGCTGCAGATCAACTGGACGCACTCCCTCAAAGTGGACAGAGCAAGTTTCCCGCGGCGTTCGTTGTCATAGCAGTTTTCATTAATTGCCCAGGGCTTATGAGGGTGCTGCCTGCTTGGGTTCCCAGGTTTGATCTCAAGATCACGCTGACCCTCCACGACCCACAGTCGACGCTGCGCTGCTTGACCTTTCGCCAATGGAAGTAGCATCTCATGAAATTAAATGAACGTAGATGCACTTCACTTTCAGTGCGGCCTTGCCGTAAGTTGTCGTGGGACCGAGAGCAGAATTTGCAGCCGCGCTCACCAGAAGCCAAACTCAAATAGCTGTACCATTGCAATATAGAAGTTGAATAGAAGCTGTATGCTCGTGTGCTCGGAGGCATCAAGTCTTGGAGGGAAATGAGGGCAAGAAATTCTGGGGGAGTGTTGCAAAGGTTGCTTCGTGGCTGTCATGCGGATAGGACGGCCTGGACAACCAAATCGGATGGGAAGGCGATAACTTGCAAGTGACATTCTGTTCTACTTCTTCGAAGGACTCGTTACTGAGGGACCCTATCACAACATGGCCAGCAGAATTGCCAGATATATTTATCATCGCGGATCATTCACTCGCCGAAGTACTTTGGGCCCCATGTAGCGACGACAGCTTAAGCTTTGAGTGCTGCCTAAATCCCAACTAACACTCTACCTGAAGCTCTAAAACTCTAAAACCCAAAACCTAAACCCCTTGTGTGGAGCCTTGCCTGCCTTGTGCGAGTGTGAGAGTCGAAACCCCAAAACCGGAGGCGTCCTCCTCTTGGGAGGCTGGTGGCCCAGCACCGGACTACCATGTCCAGGTTGAGGTCCAAGCAAATCGGAGCCGGCCGAAGCTAGCGCACCACTGGTTCGGCGAGAGGATCACGGTAGTCAAGGATCTGCTTAGGGGCCAGCCCTTAACGCAGGGAGTGACCCTGCACCGACTCGGCAAAGGAAACAGCCGGGTGGTGTATGAGTGGGGCAGTTTCGTGGTAAAGTTCACCACAGTGGCTTTTGACCACGGTGACGAGGAGCAACTGACGAAGCTGCTACCAGAAGCTACGGCTTTGGTGATTTAGGTGGTCCCGGTGGTTGCCCGCATGGGGCCCTCACAAGGAGCCGCCCGGCACATGGTTTTTGCCCTTATCCAGCAAAAGGTCATCATGGCTCAGGGCTGGCTGGAAAGGTTGGACATGGAGACGCACCGCCAATGGCACTACTACTTGGCATGCATAGTCGCGTGGCTAAGCAGCAGGGGCCTAAGCCTGGCAGACGTGACCGTTTCCAACTTGGGGCTGGAGACCCAGGAGGGACACCTTCAGCTGTTCGACCTGGCGACCTGGAAGGTCACAGGGGTGGCCAAGTGGAGCTCTGGATCTGGGTTTGAGCGATACCTTCGCGGTCGATGCCCCGAAGTGCTCGAGTCGATTCAGCACCAGCGGGACCGCGCGCCGGAGCGAATGTTTGAGGCCTTCGTGCAGGAAGCTGGACCTTTTGTCATGCACCTTGTGCACAAAAGGATTGCAAGGATGCAGAATGGGCGCACGGTGATGAATGACAATGGGATTATCCAGCTCGGTGCCGTTGATGTCCTCCCGTAAATGCCCCCCGGGGCTGGCCTGAGGCAGCTCTTTAGGAGCCTGCTGGCCGGCGTCCGGCCAAGGCTTAAATTAAGTGCATGCGGAGCCTACGGCAGCGAAGTGCATCGAGCGAGAAACCCCAAAACCCTGCACCAACTTAGGCTTCTTCATAGCTGCCTCGCCCCTGGCATCGGCACCGCTGAGCGAAGCTGGGGATACAGACATTCAGAGGACCTGTGAAAACGTCTCGTATCTTCATATAGAGTTATTGTTGAATCGGTTTTTGCTACACGTTCCTGTGGGGGTGCCCGGGGTGCACGCACGCTCTTGCCAGGATGCTGCAGGATTCTGTGTAGGATCTCTGAAGCAGCAGCTGTCTAGTCACCCTCCAAGATGATGTGCAGGCTTGCTCGCGATGATGCTACCTATGATGCCCATTTAGACATCTAGCGTTGTAGAGCATGTCCTGCGAACGCCCGAACCTGCGAGCAGCTGTGCAAGGCTGCTTGCGCAGAAGCCACAATGGCCGTGCAGGATTCCGCCGGGACGTCGGCAGCAGCTGAAGCAAGAAGCACTTGCCCGGCACAGGTGGGCGCAAGATGCATGCAGATGCGCCTAGAGGGGGTCCTGTGCTGACAAGTCAACGGATCCTTTACCGACCCAATTTCCCGGTAAGGTGCTTGTTTCAAGCCGAGCATTGAATCTGGTGCCCCACTCTTTGTGTCCACCGATGCGCTGTTTTCTTACCATTCTAGGGAACCTATTTTTTACAGCTTGTCCCCAGCTTTGCCAGCACTACTGCAAGTCTTGCCCGCAGCGCAGCTGCAAGCAGCAACAAGATCCGGACGAAATCTGGGGACCGACCATGGACCGCCTCAGCTTGTGGATGGTTGTCGCTATCTTGCCATGTATCTTCTTTCAGCATACGTGTGGACACTCTGGTACTTTTAACTGGCAGTTGCTGTCTAACCTATATGCATACCAAAGATGTTTGTTGATGTGTGTGTGTGTGTGCGCGTTTGCACATGTGTGCGTGGTCCCTCCGTGTGTGTGTGTGTGTAACTATATATCATGACGGAATACTTGCTGGACAGCGAAAAGACACTGACTGGGCACATGAAAAAGATATGTTCGAAGAAATGCTTACCAACATATCTCTTCCTGAGGTGCGCAGCATCGAGCCGCATGATCGTTTTTTTTTCTGGGTGTCCGTGCGATGATCAGGCAGGGGGACGATGTGAAAGCTGTTCAACCGAACGGCTATCAAGGCCTGGTGACATGCTGTTGCCCTCGGGCCTACTTAGGGTACCCCACCGTAGCTTTCACTTATTGAAGCAGACGTTGCTTTGTGATTGTGGATGGAGTGGGAAATGCCGCCAGGTTTCGTGAAGTGAATTGTTGCTCCTAAAACTCTTCGGTGGGTGCAGGCTGCTTTCAAGCTCCGGCTTGTGGGAGAAGGCCACAATTTCCCAGCAACCATTGGTGGGCAAGTTCCCGACATTCGCGAATTCCTGTGTCTATTGGCCCGAAGCGCTTGCACAAACGACGCTAGCGCAGGGTGGCGATGTCTTAGCAGTTCAGAGGGTTGGCTTCCACAGCCTGCAAGAGCCTCCAACAACTTCCGCAACCTCCTCGAAATCTCCGCTCCAAACCGCCAGATCACCCTCCGGCCGTGGTTGCGAAGCCGAGGGCTGCAGCAGAGAAGGCATGGCGTCCGGGAGATTTTGCATGTGAGATGGCTTGCTGTTTCTAGACAAGGGGCTTGTTAATGGCAGATGTTGGCATCTAGTAGGCTTTGTGATGCTGTGCAAGTCTACAGACTTTCTTGGATGAAAACAGACAGGTTACTTGTGCAACCTCAACTTCATGACACTCCAAAACCTAGAATGCATTTCTTCTCATCTTATGAGCGATGAGCGCCCCGTTTTGATTCTGATTAAGCGAGCCTCGACTCTTCCGAAGCGCTCTTCATTCTTGAGCTCCTTGAAGTCAGCTTTGGCAGTTTACAGGCACCTGTCGCCCCGGCAGCGACTGTCGCAGCTTCGCCAGCACCGACACCGGTGCTTAAAGGCTCAGCTCCTTCATCAAAAGGGTTCTTTTCCGGAGAAGTCTGCAAGGAATGCCACGGCTGCCCCGTGAAGAAGTAAGTTTGGACCGTTTTGCCCGAAGCTTGCCGTCACACCCTGATCGCTTTGGACTTCTCTAGATGCCGTTGTAGTGTGACCAGCTTTATGATCAAACTATTCTTATCATTTTTTGTTAGTAGTGCCACTACCATGTTATAAAAGTATGAAGCCTGAACCTCTGCGAGCTCTGAAGCCTAGCAGGCCGACCTTGCACATGCAGCCCATCTGAGCACTACAGCACCTGCTGCTGCAGGCCTTGCTTTGGCTTAGGAGTTTGTAAGCTTTAGGTTCCGATTCGAAGGTGGCTTGGAGGCCTCATCTTCGCACAAACGTGGTAAATTTCGCAATCCGACATCGAGGAGTTTTCGTGAGCAATCATTTTTGTAGTTGGTTGCAAGGCTTGGCGAAACCCCGACGGTGCACAGGAGGGAAACCAGGGGTGTTGGGATTTTTGGCGCTGAATGCTCTTGACACAACCTGATGTTCAATGCACGGGTTGGCCTCCGATGTTGCCTGACACGATGTCAGCAGATTCGAACCGGAGATCGTTGTTTGTGCCTTCAGATGTTGGGCTGCTCTGTAGACGCTTGTTCAATGCCTCAGTGGGCGGTACATCTCAACACTGCAGTGGCGAACAGGGATGACAAGCTCGCGCTGCTCAAAGTCTCAGGCTAGCCATGTTGTGTTCTGTTAATTATAGAATGAGAACGCATCATCTAGCCGGCGCTAAGCCAACCCCAAAGTGTGGATTTGCAGAGCCGCAGGCTTGCAAAGTTTCAACGTCCGCGCTTCCGGTGCTTTTGGCGGCAGTTGGCGCAAGCTCGTTATGTTCTGACGGCCTGTGGTGTGGTTTTGAGGCGTTGAGGGTGAGCTCCGTGGCTTTGCAGGTTGCCAGTGTCCGGTGCAGATGTATGGGTCAAAGCTGTAATTTAAGTTTGAGGCGAGGGAGCCCGGATCAGAGAGGGACCAAGTACATGGGCCCAGCACCACTTGCCGGGGCACATGAGCATAGCGGAGAAAATCTTGTAATCAGAGGATCATCTTGGAAAGCTCGTTCGTCGCTCTCAGAGCAGCTCCAGACAAGACTTGCATTCCCGGATGTCGATCTGCTGTGCTTTCGCCGCCACGAAGCTCCAAAAACCTGAGTGTTGATGTAGATGCCTGGAAGATTGCAGGAAGCGTGAGGAGGGGAGAGGGTTGGAGAAAGCTGCCATTGTGGCAAAGTCGACCATGTACAGTCCGAGCCCATCACACTACTAGTGGCTGTGGCTGGGGCAGCTCTTGGAGAGCCACGGGGACTGCCCATGGAGACTGCCCGTGGTTCTAATCCTAGGCCCGAGCAAAGCAAAGAGCACCCATTGACATAGGCACATTTTGGACACACATGTCACGCATCTTGTGTACCGGCACTCACTATGCAAGTCTGATTTTCCTTCGAACCACACATTGATGGAAGCATGGTAGGTGGATAAGATTGGAATTATTGGATTCAACTACGTAGGTTCGTCTCGGTTAGATTGGGTTCGATCAGGTTAGGTTACATGAGATTAAGTTAGAGATTACGCTTAGACTAGATAGTCCTTTTCTGTTTTTCAGTAGATAGGTTAGATAGACAGATATAGATAGAAACGTAGGTAGATTCGTGAAGCTATAGCGTTAAGAGGAGACCGCTACACTTCATCGACGGCAAACCCCAGACCTCAAATGATAATCGTTGCCATAAGCCTTGAACTCTCAACCCTCCAACAGAATAGTTGCCGGGCTTAGTTGGAGTGCTTGGTGTTCTCCCCTGGCATGCCGGACTCGGAGCATCGAAACCTCATTAGGGTGTATAGTTCCCAGGCACGAAAGTCCTGTAAACCCTTCCCCCCCCAAACATCCCAAGACCCTTCATAAGCTGAAAGCTCTGAGGATCTTTCCGCAGACTGCGCTGAAGTCGGAGTCGGAACTCGAGGAGCATCCTTATGTTCGGGTTTAATGAACTTTTTTAGGGCTCATGGAGTTCAGTTCATGGTTCAGTCAGGATCCGACTTAATTTCTTAGCTTGCGCTGTGGGATGGTCACGAGCACCAGGAAACCCCACCAGACAAGTCCGGTAGTGGTATTCCAGAAGCCTGAACAATTATAAATGTTGTTCCTTCGGGATCCTTGTTGTACATATATGATAGTGTGTTACAAAACCCTAGTTCAAATGTTAAGGTCTCTAGACTCATGGTCCAGAACGCTGAGTCCCGGGCTTTTGGTGGTGGTGGTGGTCCTACGTCCATGTACTGGTATCCTTCCAGGTGGTCTCCTGGGCTTTGGTGGTCTCTCTATGCTGGCATAATGGACTTGCGCTGGGGGCAGTGTTGTTACTAGGTTCATAGGGTTTGGCCTGGCGCATGTCTTGAGGAGTTCATTGAGTGATGCCCGGGTCAGGATCGGGGTCGTGGATTCAGTAGGGGCCCTTTGACGGATTCTGGCTGAAACGGCAACCCGAACCAGAACATGCCTCCCACACCTAACATTGCGTATATTTTTCATGTGCCCGTCAACCCTCAGATGTGCGCGAGGATCAGGCCGATCAGGCCGAGGAGGAGGGTGAGGCGGAAGAGAACGGCCTTAGGCTTCACGCACCGCCTTGGCCTCAAGAAAATTGTAGCTGCGTGGCATAGAGTTCGAGATTGAACACTGACAAGTGATCGGTGGAATTGACTGAACAAGGAATCAGACCATGCACGCCCCTTCTAAAAGTCCTCCCCGAACCTCAGGCGCTGTAATCATCTTCAACCCCAGAAGCCCAAAAGTTTATAAGCCCAAACCCTACAACCTTAATTGTTGGTGTGCGTCGAGTCTTACTACGGGAGCATGTGTCATCCTTGAATCCTCCCGGAAAAAACTACCACTCGGAACCCCAAGCCGGAGTCGTCAAGTACCCAGGCTTCCACCCGAGCCCCTGCCCCCGCTGAGCCCGGAGGAGGACTCACGCACCTACTTAGTGGGAAGCTGATACCGGGTTCGGGACTAGAGACAATAAATAAACTTTGTGGTCTTTAGTGTTTCGAGGTTAGGTTTCAGAGCCCTGGCAAGGCTGGGTTTCCAGGAAATCCTTACATGGTAGATGTTAGGCTGCCTCTTCTGCTCCTGACTGTAGCCACGAGAACTCTGATGTTCTGCGCAGGTGCATCGCATAAGTGTCATGAAAGCTTGACGAATATTTCCGACCCGGATCAGAGGGGCTCTCGTCGGGTTTCCATGCTGGCAATGGCACGCTTCTGCCTCAGGCGGTGTCGAGTACAGGGCGAAGCCCCAACAATTCGTTTTTGTTTTGCTTGAAGCCAGAGTCTCTACACCATAACAGCGTGCCTTCAAGTCTGATGCTGTTTTGGGGGGACGCAGTCACAAGCCCGTAGCCGCGCGCGCAGTACGCGAATCTCTTACTGGAGCATGATGTAGTACTTTCCGACACTGTCAGCTTTTGACCCCAATCCTTGGTCTCCTCCAGTAAACTTCTGGTGTTAGGTTCTGACATGATGTGCACTTGGGGTTCTTGTTGGTGTTTATGGGACTTTCGCACACAGCCGTGTGGCCTCATGACCTAGTTTCGGACTTATCGCCTGGAATCCCTGCGTGCCCCGTGCGAGTGTGCGAGTTCAATCCTTGGTCTCCTCGGCTTTCGAGGAGGAGCTGAACGCGATGAGACTCTTGGATAAGGTGGGGTTTCGGTCCCGGGGTTCAGGAGCAGTCGCGACTGGTGACAGTACGTGTTTGATACTAACAGTTACTAACAGTAGTCGCTTAGTAGTTAGTAGTAGTAGTAGTAGTAGTAGTAGTAGTAGTAGTAGTAGTAAGAAGTAGTAGTAAGAAGTAGCAATAATAATAAGAAGTAGTAGCAGGCGTAGTAGTATAGTAGTAGTGTAGTAGTAGTAGTAGTAGTAGTAGTAGTAGTAGTAGTAGTTGGTAGTAGTAGTAGTAGGCAGTGAGTAGTAGTAGTAGTAGTAGTAGTAGTAGTAGTAGTAGTAGCAGTAGCAGTAGC